ATGTTTTCATGATCAATTTCTACGCCTATGGTGACACATTGGGTGAAATACGTACCTCGATACAACATGTCGGACAATCAGCACGATGCCGCAGGGAATGTGCTTGCCCTACGCGCTTTACCATGGCTGCTGCTGGGTTGCATTCAACATACTCCTGACATGTTCTGGCACAGGGTGATTGGTCTTACTATGTATGTGACACTGAAGCAAGCCACTTAATTCATGTGGTAAAGGCAATGATAAGTTATCCCCAACATCACCAGTAATGACTCTGTTTCACAATTATTTGCCGTTGGCCTGGTTCCTGAAAGTTAAAAGATTCCCAGCCCGCAGGGCCTAGGTGAAGAGCTAGGGCAGATTTCTAGGGCAGATTTCTGGGGTTTGAAAACTTCAATGCTATGACCTTCGACAGCACATTTCATCCTCATGAGAGGTGGAATGATATGGAATGTTGACATCGAGCAGTAACTTCAATTGCAGTCTTCACTTTAGTATCTGGTGTCACCAGCTCCATAGAAAATTCATGAAAATTCCCAGTTACCGAGGGTTTTCCCGTTAAAACCATCATTGAAACCATTTTAAAAACTCGGATTGCTTCGAGAAGCTCCAGGAGTTCCATTGAATGATGGTTTTAACATGTTTTAACGGGAAAGTTCCCCATTGCTTCGAGGATTTCCCTATGGATTGTCCACAGTCACAGCACAGGCCGCACAGCGCTCCGAGAAGATCTCCTTCTTGCGGTTGCGACGGATCAAACAGCGACCCGGAGATCGGCCATGGATCTGTCGCAGTTGACACCATGTGGGATTATCATGGTGGTTATATATAGTATGTATATATAATATATATATATCTCTCTCTGGGTAAATTAACGACCTCACTGCGACCTCACTGGAAATCATGGTTAGTAAGAGGAATCATCCCCAAATGGCCTTAATTCAGGTTAGTGAAATATTATAATTTACCCAGATATATTATATATATGGTATTTATATATATATAGTATATATATAGTATATATAGTGCATATATATATATGGAACTGGACATTCCCATTCTATAATTAACTTTTACTTCGGGGAAATGAGGGTTTTGAACCATAGATCTCCATGTCATTGAGGCGCATTCGAAAGACCAAACCGACGTGGGGTGGCTCAGTATTTGAGCCTTTCGTGGCTGGTCATTTGTCGACCTTCTCGGACTGGTCTCTGGGTATTTTATATCTTCCATCTTAGGCTGGCATTACAATCCCAGTTCATTAGTACACTCGGTGTATTTTGATGTAATTGCTGTGCGTAGCCTATTTTTTGGGACAAGATCCATTGGTAATTAAATTCATACAAATCCGTTTAATAGATAGGTAGATACAGTACATAGGTTCATATAAATCTATGTATCTCCGCGTGGGCATTCTAGGATGGGATAGGCACATTCCGCCCGTTCAGTCAGGCCGGGACAAAAGATCATCGACACCATGGGCAGCGATGAGAATCGCGATTCGGCCAAGCTTCAGGTGAGGAATGACGGCAGCTTACCCCTTCAGTGGTGGTAATGTGGTTTTTAGCCACTGATCATGATCATGATTATGGAAATTATGGTGTTATATTCTGATATGATAGGAAAATTGGGCTGAATATCAAAGATTTCAAAAATAAAGATGATATCCTTTGGATGTTTTTGTTGACCACCTGACGTTGCAACGTCACTGGAATGATGGGAACTGGATCGGGGTAACTGTCCCCGGAATGGCCGAACTTTTCAGGTTGTTGAATCATGATGAAATTGATCTAGCTATATATATATATCACATATGATATCACAATTTTCACCACTCAAAAATTGGATATGATAGGAATACCCTAAGCTATAGCATAGATGTGGAAACTTACCATTTCAATAGGCCATGGCTTCCACATCTAACCTTTTTCGTTGAGCAAGGAGCTAAAGGACTCCATCATCCCCATCCAGCTGGGCACTCAGCAACCATTTCCACGCGGCCGTGGAATGGAGAGGTTGAATGTATATATTTAGATATATGGTAAATTATATATATAAAAAAATAAACAATATATAATATATATATATAATATAATATATATATATATAATATAATATATATATAATATATATATACATAAATGCCTGTATATGAAGAAATGTATAGCTACATTATCTGTACACAAGGAAAGGGCACACACACACATATGAATTTTAGATATGTTTTTTTTGATTTCTGTCTATCTTTCTGTATGTCTTTCTATGTTTTCTATGATCGTATATCAAAAAATACATGGGATTCATGTGCTAAACCCAATGCTCAACCATCCCTATCACGAGTTTTATGGCTTGTGTGCACCATCCCCACATGTTTGTATAATTATATACATATATATATATGTATACATATATTTACGCATATATATATATATTTACGCATATATATATTTACACACACACACATATATATATATACATATACATACATATATATATATGGCATTGGGTTTCCCACACGGTGCTCCCCAACGTCCACCTGCACGTCGCTGCCATAGCTGCAGGACCTTCTCCTTGAACCAGTTGGAATCCAAAGGTGCGGAGAGCCGGCCCACAGTCGTCCGTTATCAGAGATTTATACAGAATGGCCAGATACACAACATATATACTGTATATATATAACATAACTTGACGTTATAGTGTATAATGGGGTAAACCATTAAGTATTGTAACACAATTATTAAATATAAGTAATTTCTGGAATGAATATAGCTCCATGTATATATATACATACGTGTGTATGTGCCCCAAAATTCCCAATGAACCATGGTAACCCCTGGTTCAATTGGGGATCATCACTGCTATGGTGGACTGTATTAATGATGAGTCATTGGCTTTTAGGGTTTGTGCAAAGGGTGATATTGCAATATGTTCATGATAAAGTCATTTATGTCATTGAGTTGACAGTGGAGAAAAGTGGTTGTAGATGATGTAGATCTTGAACCTGGCCATTGATGGTGCTGTGGTCAGGTGTTGTGGTGCGAATGCATGACAAGCTGCCAGGAAAGACCAGGTGGAACAGCTCGGGGGGGCCTCTATGGTAGTTTCAGCGAACGGGCCGCGTAACGGCCCCGCGGCTTTTTAGGTTTGTTTGCCATTTAGATGGTGTTACCTTGATGATTTTACGTTGATGATGTTAAGGATTGGGCTGGGGCGGGGTGGGATGTTAACATTTATGTACATGTTACGTTGATGATGTTACGTTGATGATGACGCTGATGATATTACTGTACGTTGATGTCAGTTCCTCAGCAATTTTTTTCCGAAAGTTCAAGATTGCAAGCAACTGGTTGGATGCCACAAAGACTTGGTGCAAAAAGTTCATGGCAATCTTCGTCGAGTGCAAGCCAAGGAAGGCATGACAGGTATGACCAGGTATGAAACAGGCGCAGACCTTGGTGCTTCGTGGAAATATCGAAGCTGATGCAAGCAGTGTCTGCAACTGTCCCATTGGCCTTCGCAACACAAACTTTCAGGAAGAAATTGCTGAACGGAAATCAAAACTAAAGGCTTGTCGAAAAGATCCTGGCTGGTTGGTTGGAATGTGCGAAGCGCCGGAGCGGTGGAAAGAGGAATCAAAGGAATCTAGTTTCATACGGTTTGATATGGTTTAATGATGTTTAATGAGTAGGTTTACCTTTCAGTAATCAAACAGGGCTAGCTTGGAAATCCCTAAACTAAGTGGTGGTTTATGGCTGGGAAAGTCATCTAGGGTAACCTAGCCCTGCCAGTCAAAAAAGGCTTTGAAGACGACCTTCCTCTCAAAATTGACAATGCTCGTGGTCTATGTTGACTAGGATGGTATGATTGTCCCATGATTTTGAGGGGAGGGATGAACTAACCCAGCACATCCATGGAGATTTCATATGAAAACTGGGTGCTGGGTCTAGGGCAATAGTTGCAGTGCTTGTAATTTGTGAAGACATAGCTGCTTTAGCTGGGTTGTTTTTCTTGTGACTTTGACTTGGCTTTGTGACCGCGTTCCAGGTTGTTGAACTTGCATATGCTCAAGCTTTGTAATGATCTTCCTGCAGCCTTCAGAGCTGCAAAACTCAGCTTGTAGTGCATATATAAATATATATAACTATATTTAAACCGTATATTAAACCGTATATAAATAAATGGGGAGATGCATACTTACGTATGTATGCGTTTATATCATATATGTCTATTTGAGATACATACATCGGCCGTTGCATTGGAATGCTTGGGATGCTTCACCGCCAGGAAACACATGAGCTTCACTTTCCAAAGCAATGGGGAAGGCTTCAACGTCCAAATCTTCCTGAAGACTACCCTGCTGAAAGAGCCTCTTGTCATAGAATTGGATGATGGGAAAATTTTAACCGGAAAACCCTATATTTGATGGTAAAAACCATGGTTTCCTGTAAATTTTCCCTTAAACCAATCCAGTGATTGTTGCTGTTACAACTCCAAGGGAAAATCGGAGGTTCATCCCATCCCGCAACCAAGGTTCCAGATCTCGAGGGAACAGATCGAGGACTTGGAGGTACACGGAGCCGGAGCAAAGGGGTGAGGGACAAAGTGGGTTTGTGTAAAAAATGTTGGGATCACCACAAAAACCATCAAATTTCCATATGGTTGATATTGGATTTATCATCGCTTTCCCATGAACATCAACATTTTGTGGTGTTGGCAACCCAAATGATCAAGAGTCATTGACGATGGGGAGAATTGATTTGCTTTGGTAAGGCTCACCACAGTTTCGTTGGAGTTTAGGTTTGCTGCCATTTGGTGCTCGTAGGCGGTGCGAAGTTTGGCTGGATGACGCAGGTAGTTAGTGAGGCACCTGACATTTCCACAGCTGAAGTGGCATGCTACCACGCAGAATAGCACAGCATACTGCAGCAGCATCCCATCAAAACCTGAGTTGCCAGCAGCAGATCAGCAGCATAGCAGGGACGTGGGCCATTACCTCAATGATCGACCCGTTTCCTTTTGAGCTCAGTGCGGCAGTCGTAGCCATGTTCCATTCCATGAACCAAAGCCGGCACGACTTGAAGGCCGGGGAAAACAGCTCATTCTCAGCCATAGATGTCTGGGTTACCCGCCTTATCCCTCCGTGGACGTGCACCTGGCCAGGTGGGTTTACACCAAGCACAGCAGAGCTATGAGATGAAACTCCAGGAGTTGGATGATATATCCATATGCTATGCACATTGTGTTTATGTATTATACATATATATATATATATCTGTGTGTGTGTGCATGCACATTATACACGAATACATGTGTATTGTGCACCATATATGTAATACACACACACACATGTGCACACACACAATATATATATATATGTGTGTGTGTGCGCACGCACTATACATATATGTATATGTACCTGAACATATCATTACATATAATCTAATCTTGAGTATCGCTTTCTTGGTTGAGCTGATGAGACCTCAACACAAGAAAACATTTGCAGCTGGACAGGAGTTGGATTCGCATCACAGCCAACAGTTGCACCAGCTGCGACAAAGGCACCAGCAACCCCAAAACAGACCCGGGTTTCTGTGGTGCAGCTGCTGCATGGATTGGGTTTGAGGTGGAGAGGAGGTGTTTCATTTTTGTGAAACATATGTGTGTTGTGTGCAGAGAGAGAGAGAGAGAGAAAAGCAAGAAAAAAGAGAAACAACATGCAAAAAGGAGGGAGAGATGTTACAGTATATATAATTATAATATATATACACATACATGATGATATATGTATGCAATTGTATGCATATATATATGTATATAGATAATAGATAATGATACTTACATATATAATATGTCTATGTCAAGCATGTTGAAGCGTTTTACGTCACGTTTCCCCAGTGGAGCCTTTTCAGATGTGCCTGCAGACCTGACCTGATTCACACGGCCAGGGCGCAAAAAGCCTTGGAAGAAGCAGAGCAGAGATATCAGGTGCCTTGAAACCCACCGGACATGGCACAGCTTGTCTTCTCCTGTGAGGTGCCTCCCAAAATGTTGTACTGTTGGATTATTCACCGCCAACTATCATGCCAAAGTCTACGGCTATATCATCTTATATCTACAATAAACTTTACCTGTTTGGTGGTTTGGAACATTTTTTATTTTTTCCGTATTATTGGGAATAATACTCTCAACTGACTGATATTTTTCAAAGGGGTTGAAACCACCAACCAGTTAACTCAGTTCACGAACATCATAATAAACTACGGCTCTATCATGCTATATCATGCCAAGGCCGACCTGTCGGATCTCCGAAAGCGCTTAGAAGCTGAGCAAAGTTCCCGCTCAGCGGCGTTGGGGCCTTGGGGGAGCCCTATGGTTACAATGTGTTCTATATACAACATGTATGGTGCATATATATATACATACGTATCTATACACACCATAGGTTACCCCATGTATATGTCACATACACGACGTACAATAGGTATACAGGTATATATAAATATATGCTATATATATACATACATATCTATACACACCATAGGTTACCCCATGTATATGTCACATACACGACGTACAATAGGTATACAGGTATATACAAATATATGATATATACATATATATATATATATATTATGTATATACATATATGTGCACCAGAAGAAATGTACCATATTTATTGTTTTTCTTTGGATTTCAAGGGAGCCTCCGGACTCTTCTGAAACGTTGTCTGAAGCTACGCTGTGCCGCTGTGCCTTGCAGCGAATTGCGTTGTCGAGAGCACATTTTTTAGAAGGCGTTTCTTCAGATTGTTGGCTGCAATCGATGGGGTTGAAGATATCCATAGATATATCCATAAATGATATATCCATAGATATATCTATTGATGGATTGCTTCCCTATCCCAGTGCCTGAGGCAGTACCACATAGAAAGTCTGCAGCGAAATCTGAGACATTTGCGCGACGAGTTGTCGCTTGATTGATCGAGGGGTTGCTGGGGGAAGTGCCACTCCAAGGTATAGAGAGAATTGTCCAGGGTGTGCTGGGTGCATGTGCATCCATGTGTTTATCTCGGGAAAACTTCTAAATTTGTTGTGGCAGAAACTGCAAGGGTGAATGCTTCAGATTGAAGTTTTGCACTATCAGATTGGACTTCCCCATCTTGGTGGTTTTACAAATCAGTTCTCGTCAGCGATTTTACCCTTGATGTTCTCAGATTCCTGACCTTGGGTGATTCTTACCACCTGAGCAAATGTTCAGCGATTTTCCAGATTTTATCCTCACCAGTCCCCAAGACCTGAAATGCCAAGGTAGCCTCAAGCCCCCATCCCAGTTTGATGTTTCCTGTCATCGATATCAAACGTATCCAACATTTTCCTGCCATCCCAGGGGGTCCTCCATTTGGTCAATGGCCATTTCAGGAACCTAAATTGGAGGTACTTACCATATATAAGGCCTATGTAAGGGAATATCCACAAAATATGGCCTTATATGGTACAGTACCTCCATTTTAGGATCCTGGAATTCCCATTGATTTGGCCCATGCGGCAGGGAAGAGAAGCGCGAGGACGTCTCGGAGCTCCCCTTGCTACGGGAGACGTGCCGCCATCAGCGCAACGAGCTGCGAGAGCTGCAGAAGCTGAAGCAGCAGCTGCCGGAGCTCCAGCGACAGCACCTGGGTGAAGAGGGGATGGGTTGATCCATGGGGATCCCCTGATGGGATTTTCATCGATATCTACAAGGTGGTGCCCCCCAAGTTATAAACACCATAAACTATAGTTTAACTATCTATACTGTAGTTGGTTTATAACTATGGTTAATAATAGGTGATATATCTATAGTTGGTTTATAATCCCATTAACTATAAAACCATAGTTATTGGAGTTATAAACCAACTTAGCTATCTAGGGGGCACCACCTTGTAAGGGATTGAAATGACATATGACAACGAGTATAAGAAGTATAAGAAGTGGTTGTTAGGATGTTGAAGGGATTGACATGTTGGAATATTTAGTGCTAATAACTACAGCTAGTAGGAAATCATACTTTTTGGTTTGATGTGGTTTGCTACTGGCTATTTCTGAAGCACTTAGATACGATAATGATTGGGCCCAAGTTCAGAAGTTGGGGCAGTTGCGGGGCAAGCCATGCCAAGCTATGCCGGGTCGGTGGTAAATCACCTGCTCCACGTGGGGAATCAAGATCCTCAGAGTCTGTCTTGGTGACGGCATGACATGAACTTAGAGGCATTTATATGCCAGCTGAACCAACTCTGAAGTACACAACTAATTACTCTACCATGCAACCCAAGCAATAAAGTTTAAGCATCATTTCTTACCCCATTTTCTACCCCTCGCAAATCGCTATCGCTGCAGGCCCAGTAGATTTAGCATGACTTACTTCCCATTTTTACTTTGAACATCTTTGCCCATAATCTGTCAAAATCTCATTTTCTAGGGCTCATAATCTTGTCCTGCAGCTTAGAGGCTGGAGGAGTCCCAAGCAGCGCAGAAGAAGTTGCAAGAGAAGTTGCGGAAAGCGCAGAAAGAGAAGGCGGAGAAAGTGCTGGAGGAGCCCGCAGAGAAGGCGATGGTATGGGGTGGCCCTGGTGATTCACCTTCATCAGAATCATGATTTTTCTCATGTCATAACATATGGAGAATATGGAGGTGATAACCCTGGTACCATCTGGTACCTGCTATCATCCCTGTACCTGACACTCATCCCAATGCCTGTTGTGATACCACATTTTGTTGCTGGTTCATTATGATCTTGTAGGTGAGGCCGGTAGGCCCGGAAGCGACAGAAAAACTGAGTGGAACTCACCGTTTTTGTGGGTTCAAAAACGCTGGATAGCCCCTGGTGCCATATGACACACAGAGTTTGACAGACATACAGATACAGGTGATATTTGCCCGCATGCACATACATCAATACATAGATATGATGTAGCAATAATATCATTCATCATCATTCATCATCATTTAAACATGTACATATTTCTTAAGTTCATGGAGAAACCGAGAAACTCCGCCAGGTATTCCAAGGCTCGGATGGTGTATATTATGCACATCCTCGGGTTCCTGCCATGTCAGGCATATGAGAGAACGGCTGCACCATACACTGGATGGCAACTTGTCATGACAGTCGGCTTTTGAACACCTTAACTGGCTGGTGGTTTTGAATGATCATAGATGATATTTTCAAGAATCATAAAAAACAATATTTTTTCGAAATCATCATCCGAATGGTTATAATTAGCCATGCTTTTAATCTTGTTTTAATTTTCAAGCATTGTTTTCAACTACTAATATACTTGTGGGGGTTGAAACCATCAAGCAGTTAAGGATCATTGAAATGCGCTTAGTCTTGGGTCTTCAATCGTTACATTATTTTTTGCTACCCTGTACTTTTGGCGCATTCGAGCATATATCCAGGATCGTTATCAAAATCAGAAATAGCGAGCATTTTCAATATCTGAGAGCGATCTGGAGCAAAAAGCATGGCTGCAATTTCGGGCGCAAATACGCCAATCGAGCGCAAATTCAGACAAGAAGTCTGGCCAATAGAGCTTAAGGAGCATTTTTTCAAAATATCGAGCACGTCAATGTCCAATCGTTATGGCATTTTTGGGAACAAGCAAATCTCAAAACGAGCAAAAAAAATGTAGCAATTGAAGATCCAGGCCTCAAATGATTTTGTACGGTGGGAGCCCTTCAAATCTTTATGGGAGGCTGTGCTTCGGCTGCTGCAAGTTGAGCTGGATGATAACAGCCATACCGTTTGAACAGTCTAGATGTCGAAGTATCAACTCCTTCTCTGACTACTCCCCTCGGAGAAAAAAATCAAACCAAAGCTCAGGTGTTCCCCCGACTGTGACACATCGTATTCCAGAGGATTCATCATTTGGAAGCCCATTCTTAGCCAGCTCAGTGCATTTCGGGGCTCAGGTCAGAAATGCCTTCGCAGATGGCTTGGTCTGAGCCTGCACCAAGCTATGGCTATGGCCAGGCCTATCCCGACAGCGGCTTCAACGCAGAGATTCCTCAGCCCCTTAGCCATGGGATGTCGGCCATGTTGTGACATGGGATATGGAAGCATGGCAAGCCAAAGCACCTTGACCTGAGTAATTCCAGTGTAATACCCATAAAAGTATGTGATTATGGTGAGATATGTTATACTTGCTCCCATTTCAGTGGGTATAAGGGTCAAGGTTGATTGATTTCAACTCAGCAGTGCGCTGGCCTCGGTGATGTTGGAGAAGCCCAAAGCACCACCCACCGGCTCAGGTCAGCTATGCCAGAGATCCAGACCAGCATGGCTTGGGAGGGTGGCGAGGGCTCAATGGAGGGACAGCAAACCTATGGTGACACCTATGGTGCGGAGATGTCTCCGTAGCTTGAGTGCAATTCAGGAGGAACCAGGGTTGGGTGCTGGAACCAGGCTGTGGCAATCCCAAAGATTCACCTTCGCGTGATCACCTTGCTAGTCTGCCAGCATGTTGCGGTGCCAAGGTATGGAGAGGTACACTGGGCGCAGCAGGGAGTGGAAGGTGAAGCAGGTGAGGGCCCCAGCCAAGACCCCTGGTGCCTGTGGCCAGGTGGACGTGAAGAAAGCATAAGAAAGCCATAGAAAAGCCATAGAAAGCCCAAAACGGCAATTGATTTGCATTCGGCCAGTGGGCCAACCAGAGTGGATTTCTTGAACTAAAGATGGGAAGATTAACTCGGCCGCCCCCCAACCTGCATGGTTGGCCTGGCCTGGAACCACCGAAGAACACCCAGAACCGGAGGCGAGGTTTGCTGCCCCCATTGCAGGCTCAAGAAGCTACGTCTCACTTCGCATATCTGGAATTATTTAGAGTTGCCAATTATCCATCAAAAGACTTGGGAAGCTGGTTTTCACGCGTTCTGGGTGCAGAACCCATACCTTCAGGAAACATTCCGGAACTTGTTGGATTGAATGTTTGATAGGCCAAGATCTTGCAGACATTTTCTCAACCATTGAATTTCGTGGTTTCAAGGATTTCTCCACATTTTCTGCAACCGGCCCCATGGTTTCCGAGAAAATCATCCCTCCAGCCTGCAAAGCAGATGAGGATGGGCCCCCCATGAGCCCACCTGCCAGCAGCCCTGCCAAACCAGGGATGGAAAAGGCCAGCACCCTGGATGGCAAGGGCCAGGGCCCCCAGGGCCCAGAGGTCGGCAGCCAGGAGACGCCCCCTGGAGCTGCTGGTGCCACCTTTTCAGCCCATATCTTGGAGGCCTGGCGGCTGATAATCCGACCGCCACGGAGGATCTATGGCAACCAGAGCTTGGGGCCGGAACAGTTGCAGGTGATCCTGCCGGCTGAGAGCAGTAAGAAAAGGCTAAGTCGACCCTTACTGCGGCAAGAGCTGGAGTTGAAGAATGGAAGGGGCCATGTCTTGAAATGCAGTCACTTTGTTTTTTGCGAGTCTGTGGAACGAGCTCCATGTGTGATTTTTTGCCATGGAAGCAGCTCCTGTCGGGTGGATGCTTTTCAGATTATGCCCTATCTCTTTGAACATAAGCTCACAGTTTTCGCCTTTGATTTTTCTGGCTCTGGGCTGTCAGGGGGTGACTATGTCACTTTGGGCTATCGAGAGGAAGAGGACCTGCGTGTGGTTATTGACTACCTGTCCCACCACGAGATGGTCTCCAGTATCGGCTTGTGGGGGAAATCCATGGGCGCAGTGGCATCCATCCTTCGAGCCTCCAAGGATCGTCGTGTGGACGCCTGTGTTTTAGATTCCCCCTTCGGAAATTTCCAGCGGGTGGTGGAGGACTATTGCAACCAAAGCCCAGCATTGCAATGGGTGCCTCAATCCGCGGTGGATTTTTGCTTAGCGCGGGTCTGCCAGGCGGTCAAAGAACGGGTTGGCCTGGACCCGCGACAGATGAAACCTGTGAAGGTGGCACCCCAGTGCCACTGCCCCGCTCTCTTTGCGGTCGCAGAAGGGGATTGTGTGGTGCAACCGGGGCAGGTTGAAGAACTGGAAGCCGCTTGGAATGGCAACAGTCGATTCTGCTTGTTGCCCGGTGGCCACAACACTGACCGTCCCATGGAATTCCTCCAGGAGGCGGCTTTGTTCATGGCTGAAGCCTTGAAAAAAGCAGAAGAAGCTGATGCTCTGCTCAGTGGGGCGGTGGATTTATACCTAAGTTCCACGGCTGCTGCAGCACCGTTGCATCGGGTGGCATCAAAGCAGCTGCGGCATTCGCGCAGCGTGTCCAAGACCATGGTACCAGAGGAGGCACTGTACTCTGCGATAGGGATCTATTTGGACCAGAGAAGCTTGGAGAACCTGTTGGGAATCGCAGATTTTGGGGATCACATGGGACCACACGGATCTTACATGTAGGTGATCATCATTGTCACGTAAGTATAATTAGAATCCAGAGGCAGAACATACGACCATATGAATCCATATGAGTTAATAAATGATATAAATGTAGTATGGAAACTTCCTCCGTGGCCAAGTGTTTGCTTTTAACAGACACATGGCTTTCAACCATGACCGGCGACCTTTCTCAACCGATCGTCGCCCGGTCGTAGGAAAATCGCTGGACGATGCCATCGACGACTTTCTGTCGGGGGGCGGCTCTATCCCAGAGGTCTCGTCGCCGGTGCGCTGGCCCCATTTGACACAAGGCCACTTGGTACAAGCGCTGAATGTGAAGGAGGAGCGGCATGGCGGCATGGAGCGGCTGGGTGGTAGTTATACTTTATTAATCTTTATTATATATACCCTATGGTTATTTAACATAGCCATGGAAAATCACCATTTTTAATAGGTAAACCATCTATAAATGGGCCATTTTCCATGGCTATGTTAAATAACCAGATGGTATATATAGTATTTGCGGACCCCGACTGCCTGACTATCAGCCAGATGTGGCTTAGCTTTGCATGAGACAGCACGAGCCCCGACTCATCTGCTGAAGGAAAAAAACATAGTATATACTGGTAAATTATACCATGATATACCATGATATAGTGGCCATTTGTAAATAGAATGGATGATTTGCTACCAAGGGTTGAAGAGTTGAAGCCCCTTCTGGATGTGCTCAGCCCTTTTTATTTTTCAGCATGGCTTCTCTGCAAGACTGCATCAGCTAGAAGACGGAGTTGAAAGCGCAAGTTGTAATCTGAGCAAGCTGAGGTTGAGTCATGTTGTGTTAAATTCATTTAAATTCACTTTTTGGGTTGCGTCACTCGCACGATTTGCCAGGGCTTTGCCATAGTTCCACAGATTCCACAGCCTCGCAGGAGAAAAGAATCAGAAGTGGGATCGTTGACCCAGAAGGCTCTTCATGCTTTTCAATTTAGCAAGAAAAGGTCATGTGAGCTCGGTTCATTGCAAATCAACCTCTATAGTCTATGGATTCTATGGTCACTAGTCAGTGCAAAGGAAATTATATGGAAATATATATATATTTTTAAACATATCCAGTCCGTGTTGCGAGTGAGGGTCTCATGCTTTATGACAATATCATATGCAGCCTGTATGCCATTTAAGGTCTTGGCCACCAAGTTTCGTGGAATCGCTCACATGCCCTTCCATTGCCAGAAAAATCCGACAAGTTCTGAAATTTCGGAACACTCCCACCTGGCAGCTGGATCAGAAAAAACTTGGGTGGTGGTTTGGAGCATTTTTTATTTTTCCATATATTGGGAATGTCATCATCCCAACTGACGAAGTCCATGATTTTTCAGAGGGGTAGGTCAACCACCAACCAGAAAATGTCGCCCAAAATCATCAGCTGAATATGGCCCAAGTCGGATCAGCTGCTAAGTCGGAGTACCAGAGTCTCGCTGAGTAGGCCACCTGGGGTTTGTTTTCATACCCCCGTGGGGTGCTCCAAATAAAATCATGGGGTTTGAACAGGGAAATTGGATGAAATTGGGAGGTCGCCTTGGGGAACCTGTTGAATTTTTATTTTTTGATAATTATTTTGTATTAATTTTATTTTGGGAATTTGCTGATGTTTAAGGGATTCATGGGGTTGGCTCCTTGATTTCATTTCCGGCACTTGTGGTTCCCCCAGGTTGGGGTCCTTGATTTAGGTTTTTCAGGGGTCCAACCCCCCCTGACACCACAATGGAATTTTTCATGATTTTATAATATTTTATAGCTAGATTTACATCTAAGCTCTTGGATTTTGCCAAAAAGATCAAAAAGAAACCTCGGCGTTCTCATCCGTTGCAGAGACGACTGGCATCTTTTGGCTCCCAAACGGGAGGCACGTGGCACGTGGCATTGAATTCATTGCCAGCTCATACAGTTTGTTCCATCGCAGAAAATGCAGTGCAGGGCCGCAGTGAGTTCAATTGTTTCCATGCCATCTAGGTGCAGACAACTGGTTCTATGACTTGGTTTTTCTTTTGCCTGGCACGGTCATGATTTTTTTTGAAGTCAACAGGGCCGCTTGCGATTTACCTCTGTGCTTCGGTGATCGAATCTGGGATGATATGAAAGGCATGCAGATTATATCGGGTTATATCGTGTCCACCATATCTATCTGCATGGAATGGACTTGTGCGGATTCAGTAAATACTTCTGTAGTCTATAATAGACAATCATGAATGTACGTGTCGTGCAAGCACATTGGCGCATGTTCAAGTGTACGCCAATGATTATCATGCATCTATTTACATTTAGCGCACGCGCGCATATGCAAAATCATGTCAAAATGCACGCATACTGCTCCCTTCCCCAACATTGAACACCCCCCAGAAACCTTGGTTTAATAGGGGATGGAAGACCTACACCATATTTAGGACCATACAATGGGGGTGTTTAATCGACTGGCTTCGTTGTAGCTACACTGCTAAAACCCAGGCTTTTCACCCGGTTGGTCGGAGGCAGCACCACAGGCACAGATTGCTGTGAGATTTCCACTGCAACCAGTGAAAACAAAAAGATAGGAATCTGGAACCCCCAGTAAAAGTTTTACTTAAAGCTGCAGTGGAACCAGGCAGACCTACCATCCAGCATATTTTTCAAAGTTTTTTCGATGAGTTCCAACTGCAGTGCAGTTTATTGACTTCAGTTGACTTAAGGTAGATCGGTTGGAAAATAGACATGGCACCTTTGATTTCGTGGGTGTAGCTCCATGGGGAAGGTGAAAGAGAAGAAGAAAAAGAAGCACCGCGATAAGAAGCCAGGCACTCAGGTGCCCCTTAGTGTCCCTCAGGTTGGTATCAAAATTATGGCCCCCAAAATGGATCGTTTAGTACTAACACAATCTAAAACACAAACACAAACACACACACACATATATATATATATATATTGTAATAGTTACATTATATATATATAATAGTTACATATATTTTTTATATAATTATATAAATATATTATATATATATATATTTATATAAATAGATGTAAATAAATATATATATATATACATAATTATACATACACATACATATACACATACATATACATATTCAATATGTATATGTATATGCCAGCGGTCCGAAAACCGTTCTCGTAAAACCAACGTTTTTGAGAACGTGCTTCTACGTTGCTAACTTCTTGTTTTGTATGAACCATTTTCAACTACGTTACTAACTTCTCTAACCACTTGCATGGGGTTATCTTCTTTTTCAAATTGCAACTATGTTGTTGGCTTTTGTAACACAACTTGCAACTACGTTGTTATCTTCTTTTTCAAATTGCAACTACATTTTTGACTTTTGTAAGAAGACCATCGAAGCTTTGAACCGCATTTTCTGACGGGAAAAGTGCTATTTTTCAGAGTCCACAAAAACCCTCCGATGAAAATGAGCTGTTACTGTGGTAAAACGCGAAAACATCCAAATTTCGGAATCCATTTTCGGTATGTTTTTGATGAAAGAAATTCGCGTTTCACCACAGTGCCATAATTACTCATTTTTTAAAAAAGTCGTGCTTTTACGAGCACGCTTTCCGGTCCGGCGGGATGTATGTGTATATGTATATTACATAATATATTGAATCAATACAAATTGTATGGGCGCATTGGGACCCCATTGAGCACGTGATTTTGATCCAATGAGCTGAGGATGAAGAAGGAGGAAGAACATGCCATGGATGACTTTTCCAGCGCCTGTAGCTGCAGTGACTGCAATAGTAAATATTTGGAATATCCAGCAGATAATGTTATTTAGCAATAGGATATATCAGTAGTCCAGTCCTAGTGAAATTCAAACTGTTGTCAAGATCATGGACACACTTATTTGCCCACTTTTCCAAGAGTAAATGCCCAACACCCATAGCGTAAGAATCCTTGGAAGTGGTTCGCTTTGAAATCTCCCACAACTGACCCTTGAGGGTGGGGAATCTTCCAGTTTTACAGTAGACTTCATCACCCCTCTACTTTCAATGGCAGATCATCACTTTTTGTGGTAACTCAGGGGTTTCTGAATTCACACCCCACCCTTTTTCGCGGAGCCGATCTCCTGAGGTGTCTCCTCTACACCCACGGCCGATGCCTGGGGTGGAGAGATCGCCACAGCCGCCACAGCCGCGACAGCTGGTGGTGGGGGCGATGGCAACATCGATGCGCAGGTGAAGATGTTGAAAGACATGGGATTCGCTGATGAGAATCGTGTGAGACGCCTGGAAGATCCCCAATTTGGGGATGAGATGTGGATGTTTGGGCTGGTGGGTTAGAATCTGGCAAAAAGAAGTTGGGTTCCTCAAACTGTTGAATTCTGGCAAAATATGCATGCTGGGCTATGCAAATGGCCAAGGAATTCTGAATGGGGACCTCGTGGGAACAGCAGCATTTGTAGATCGGAAGACAATCATTTTGACAGTAGGCATCCAGCATTCTCCAGTCTCATCGATTCAACGGGTTTTGCCTCACTGCCACTGGACGACTAGTTGGGGTTCAGTGATTGGTATCACTGTTTCTGGAATGGGTTCTCCATGCCTGGAATGCAACACGCAGCGCCTTGCGTCAGTAGTGGATGGCAGTAGTTATTGGTCCCAACACCATGACATCAATCTATGAATAAATAATAGAATAGATAAGTAATGATAACTATATATATAATATATGTATAACATACGTGCATGTAAATTATTATAAATGAATGCGATGAAGAGGGAAAACCAATAGATTTTTATATATGCCATGTATATAAGACAGAATCATTCATATTTAGATAAATTTAAGTTCATATAAGATCATATAAATGAAAACGCACATGCCAGTGATCCCATAGATGTTTGATTTTCCAAGGAGTGGTGCTGGAGGCCGTGGGAAACGACGTGGAAAAGGCTGTGCCCGTGCTTCTCTCCGAGCACTGACAGACTGAGTCGCGGACTCTACACAGAAAGCGGCCACAAAACAAGGGGCGGAGGACCTTGCCAGGGATGAATGTTAACCGATTCGTATACCAGTTCTTTGAGAGAAGGGTAATTACATATAATTAGCAAGTTTGATGTATAGTAGTGTTAACATTGAACCCAGGATTAGTAAACCAGCAATTCATTCATACAATTGGAGGGAAAGCACCAATTTTGGTACGTAATTTTGAAAACAACTCTGGGGCAATATCCCGGAAGGAATAATTCAAAATTGAGTGTATTAATCCCGGGTTCAGATTCACTTATCTAAATTGGATTTTTGCCAACAGATCAACCTCGATCATGACAGGGATGAACCGGATATATCATCATACAACCGTGGCTTCACCATGTACCAAGAAATCACTTGCTCACATCTAAAACCTGTGTCTTCACAGCTGCTTTCAAAAACATTCGTTGGTGATATTTTTTTGCTGGTAAAAACATGTACAGCAATCATTACTTCAATCCTCAAATTTCCTGAGCTTTTCCAAAGCACTTAGAGGACCAGTTGGGTGCCCCCCCCCAGCCGAAGCCTCCTCCCTGCACCTCCGCCGTAGCCCGGGGGGCCGCGCCTCGCAGTTCGCGAACAAGACCTGTGCATCCAGTTATGCAGTGCGGCACCCCGAGGGGCTCAATTGCTGAGTTGGGCACAGGAGGGCCGAGCCACAGGATGTTATGAGGGTGTACAGGCCTTGTTGGTTTAGGCAATCAGCATGAACAAGCGAAAAGATGGGATCGATTTTGACCTTTGAAGTCAATTCCAGTCCTGACTTACTGTCAAACCCAAAGTTCTTGTTGAGACTCCAGCTTTTTCGTGGTTTTGTCTCAAAATGTCCTGGCCATGAGCCATGAGTGCAAGCGATAGAGTAGGTATCAAGTAATGTGGCGAACTCAATAGCAAACCTACAATTTTTGGGGCTTTATTATACTTATAACTTATAACATATATATTTCTGGTGATATTAGGGATGGTTTATGGCATTCGGTTTGCCACATGAACCCAAAACACCAACTGTTGGGGGAATTTGGCCGGCATTTGGCCGTGCAATGGTCATCTTGGGTCTCCAAGGATGACTTTGTTTGGATGAACGGCTATCGCTTGCGGAGACTGCTTACCTTCATTGTGCCTGGGTGGCACCACCACAGAATGGTAGGCCTTGCTGCCGGTTGTAACTGGGATTATTTCACCTCATTTTTATAAGTGATAGATAGCTAGATAGCCCAGCTATGCCCGGCCCAGCTTAGTCATCCATTGGTGACTGGTGATGCCCATCAACAGGCTTTGTTTGTTGACACCCTCGAGTGAGAACGATGATTGGCCCCCCTTGCCAGCAATACCTATAAACAGTATCAACATACCATCTGGTTATGTAACATAGCTATAGAAAATCACTATTTTTAATAGGTAAACCATCTATAAATGGGCCATTTTCCATAGCTATGTTAGTTTACCAGAGGGTATCCCACATATTCATAAATTATCCCAATAAAACTGGGGTTACACAGGCCATTTCATTGGGCTCTCGACATGTGCAGGTGGTGGACAATGGCATCTAAGTGCTGAGAACCCAGTGCTGCTGGTAGCCGGCAGGTGCCTGTTCAGTTAAGGCGGATGTGTAACATACTGTATCTATTGATGTATCTATTGATGTGTATATCAGGATGTATGGCACCGTATCGCACCCCAAAAAGTCATCAACTAGGGTAGAAAAGAGTGAATTTCCCATTTTTTCTATTTTGACCAGAGCTGTGCACGGCCTCACTCAGGTTGCGAAGTGGCGACTTGCTCTGAGAGAGGCTAGTCATTATTTGCGGCCTTCTTCTGCAGGGGTTAGAGGCTAGAAACAGATCATTTCAATCAACGTAGCTTTAATAAACAAATTCCAAGCATTGTTTTGCCTCAGTGAAAACTACTACCTCGTTGGAATAGAATCTTCATCCCAAATCGGGAGCTCAGTGATCGAAATTTTGGGGGACCTGCTGATGGTGATCAGATAGAGAAAACCCTGCCTTGCGCTGACCGCCGCCGGTAGAAATCTGGTTGCGAGGCAGGTGAAAGCCAGCGTAGGTCAGTAGGAAAAATTGGCTGCCTGGGCATTGAACGAATCTCGGAATTGGATGAAGGAAAGATCACAGGACACCCATGGGCCCCCCTGATTTTTTACCCGGTAAAACAATGGTTTCCTTGAATTGGTTTCCCAAGTCAATCGATTCTCAGCAGCTGGAAGTTTTGCTGTGAGAGCTAGTGAAACATTTGAAGCGATGCCTTTCGCGATGCCCAGTGCTGACTTAGACCATGCGGGTCGCCACCGACAAATCTGCCAGTGGCGGACTTGCATGAAGATTTCACTCACATGCTGAAACACAGCAGGAGAGACCACCAGTTGAGTGTGGAACATGGGAATGCCAACAGGGTCAACAGGGACATGGTATTGTGGCTCTGTGCAAGCTTGTAGGATGGCTACCTCATTGTCAAAGGCAACAGGCTGAAGTGAATGAAGAGGAGTTGACACGAGACACGTTTAGGTTTGCCTTGGGCGGTAGGACCATGATATGAATCAAGATCATGTGGAAGTAATGCACCTGACTTTGCTCATGCTGATTTCACATGCTGAAACCAGCCACTGCATGCGAGCCAACTCCGTGACATAGTCGACCGCTCTGTAGCCCAGATTGCTTCAGAGCGTTAGAACATTTCTCAGAGATGCCAATCGTCGGCCTTGCAGACTGCCTTGCAAACACATTGACGCCACATGTCAATGTCAGTGGGGAAGTTGCCAGTCAAAAGCTTCGAGACGCATTTGATGCTTTTTCGTGCACCGTCAAGGAGATGAGCATTGTGCGTGCCTACTGTGTCCCAAGCTCTGAAAGCACAACATGCCAAACTTGCCAGCAAACAAAGTTGCCGCAAAAGCTACTACAAGAGTTCGTATCAAAGCATCAAGTGGCCTATGAGGCCAGTTGGCACGCATCGATATTGGATCCTGAAGGCGTTTTCACCGTGAAAGATTTCGCCTTGACTCATGCTACAACATTTTTCTGGAAACCTATCCGTGAAATCATCAACGGCAAGATCTCCTGTGGAGATTTGGCAGGGAAGTTGTCAGTGTTGTCATCCATTTCAGAAGGACTTGGACGCCTTCTGAGCCCATTTGCAGATGACCTTCTTCCAAAGATTGAACACGGTGTGCGAATTTGGGAGAAGTTTGCAGCTGCAGAGCCGTTATGGAGAGCATTCAGCATTGTGGTAGGATACGAAGCAGATTTGGAAATCTGTGCCGACATACCCCCAGGACACATCCCCCTTGAATGGGGCATCAAACTAGCCCCAAGATTTGCTGCGAACAGAATTGTGAAACAGATCCAACTCTGTATTGCGCTTTTCCCAGCGCAGCATTTGCCCCTGACAAAGCACGCATATCTCAGCGTGCAGCTTCAAAAGATGATGGATGAATTTGCGAAGGAACTTCTGATGTGGTATGACAAGATTCGTGCTCGCTCAATGAAGGGCATGATGAGTGACATCACCTTGCTTGCGAGCAAAGCTTCCAAGATAGCGAAGCTCGTCTCAGACCCAGCTGAGAGTGTGGCATCTGGCCGCTCCGCCTCGAGCCACACATCGTGCCTGTCTGCACATGGTGGGCCACACTGCTTCCTGCCAGGGCATCTCTTCGAGCATTTGCAGCGGGAGGATGGGCCATCACCAGTTTTCATTCGGGCAAAGGCGCGGGATTTTCATGGATTTTCACTTGCTTCAAAAGTGTTGCCATCATGCTTGAAGGATGCGAACAATGACACTTACCTATTCAAGTTAGTATGACATTGATGCAATTTGGCTACATATTGTACCCTACAGTCATCCCAGTAATCAGAAAACATGACCTTGTTCCTTGTTCCCTCATTCACCCCAGGATCTCAAGAAGGGTACCAAGATCATTTCAGCGGATGGTACCCCTACAGTGGTGACCAAGGTGGATGGACAGAAGGCCAATATATTGCTTGAGTTGGAGAGACCTGGCTCGCTTGCACAGTTTGCAGGGGGGAAGTTGCAGGGCAGCTATGGCCCCTAAAATCAAAAGACCTTGCTTTGGAAGGTCTTTCACCAAAGACCTGTTTTAGTATTTAAAAGACACCAAAAGGTATCTTTCGCATATACCTGCAAAAGGACAATTTTCTGTCCCATGTGATTGCAAACTGGCACTCGGTGCAGCTATATGATTATAATACCCCTAAGTTGTTCCTCTATAAAATGCACATGCTTTACGTCTATAAAATGCTGTTCCGGGACTCATTTTATAGAGGATTTGCTTGGCCGTCTATAAAATGCCCCTCCAGAGCTCCCTATTTTATCATTTTATAGAGAGCTTCCTTCCCAGCATCAAAAATGATAGAGAGGTGCAAGATGTTGCAGATGGATGATGCATTTTATAGGAGGGATTCTTTGCAAAATGTTACCGTTATTTATGGACCATGTTGTGAAAGGAAAGTGCATTTTATAGAGGGAAACTGGGGGCAACCTTGATCTTTAAGATGATTTCAGAGCATATATTGGCCTGTATGGAACGGGCATTTTATAGAGGCTTTACTTTCTTGGTATTCCGTAGGTAGCAGATGGTGGCAGTTTGAAGGATGCACATGGATGCACAGTGATTCTTGCAACTGTAGGGTCTGAGTCGAACACACGCGTGCGCCTTGCAACCTTTATTAAATACCGCTGGGCCAGCCATCTAAAATCCCTGGGCTAGTGCCCACTGGCTATAGCAAGCTAAGAATTTAAGCCAGGCAAATCTTGAAGTCCCTGGGGTGAGGACAAAGAAATTTCAAAGAGATCAGCATTTCCAGAGACTCATCCGGGGAGATCAGCCTGCTATTCCCGGGAAACATGGTAATCCCATGTAATCCCTCTATGTCTTACCGGGTATTGCCGGCATATACCGGCTTATACATACTATAGTCAAACAAGTTGCACGTCGCTGCGCCATTGAATCAAATCAGATGGGTTAGCAACCGCCTGTGGAAAAGGCATTTTATAGACATATGTCTTGCCATATTGGAGCAGCGCTTCGGAGACAACACCTAGATTGGAGCAGCATTTTATAGAGGATAACTGGGTTGTTGCCCGATATCGCGCTGCGTGTCTTTGCACACGCGTCGTCTGCGGAGAAGCATTTCATAGAGATGACGGAGAGGTCATTTCATAGAGGGTTCCCACTTGCTGTCTGGATGTTGGCTGACGGAGGACCATTTTATAACCAATTTTATCTATAAAATGCTTCGTAAAGCATCCTAGGGAACAACTAAGGGGTATTGATATATGTATTGATTATATATGTATTTATATGTGACAATATGTTTTTCCCGAGTGTCTGCCCGCGGTCCCCTCGGACTTCAATATTACCAATGCAAAAAGGAAACATGAACGTAAATTTTAAAATACATATTTCCGAGGTTTGGAGCACGATCCCACGTTGACCTAACAGGCAATCCTGTACATTTGTTCAAGAATTCTTGGCATCAATGCTGAGCACACAAGAAATTCTGGTTTTGGATATTTGACCCCCGTGTCCACGACTTTTTTGGTGTCTTTCCACGACTTTTTTGTGTCTGTCCACGATTTTTGATTGTGCACGGGTTGGTCCGTCGCAAAAAACAAAACTAATTATATTTTTCCCTCAAACTGTTCACATGTTCAGGCTCAACACCGGAGTGCAGAGGAAAAAAAAAACCCTGAAAACCACCAGTGGATCCTCATGGGGTCCTAAATTGGTGAGAATCTTGGCAATGAATTGTGATCAAACAAACTCGCAATTCATGAAACATCGTGGTCCTATAATTGCCCATGTTCGGTTTCTCAGCATCCCTTGCGCCCCAAATTTTGTAGTTTACCTTTTAAGGTCTTTCGTGTACCTTTTAGGTCTTTCGCGAAAACGTTGCAAAAGACCTTCCTTTGGAGAGTCTCAGGCCCACAGGGTATGGCACATGCAAAATCAGATTCAAACACACTTTGCATCAGGGACAACATTTTTTTTACAGACTGGCAAACTTTTTTAAAGCATTTCCTAAGTATCCGGATTATCCGGTACAATTCCAACAGGTGCTCCATGGCGGTTGCCGCTGTCCTGGTTTCATAGTAGCCCCGAGGGAATGAGTTTCCCAGGCTTCTATATGTTACTGAACCAAAAGGAGAGAGGTTTCGAAACATCAAAAAACCTGGCCAGGAATTCGAAACATGCTTTGAGTTTTGCGTAATGAGGGCAAGCTGCACGGGTTCTCCTGGCAAAGCCTGACATTTTGGGTGTTATTTTGCTTTTGTCGTGTGAATTTGGCGGCGCTTTTGCCAAGTGTTGCGCATTAGGCAGGGCCACAATGAGAGAAACAATTACCCTCTGGTAAACTAACATAACTATGGAAAATCACCATTTTTAATGGGAAAATCCACTATTAATGGCAATTTTCAATAGCTACGTTAAATTACCGGAGGGTATGACATTGACCAGCCCAGTTTCTTTATTTTGCAACATGGAGTTTCCACGTTTCTTACATAAGCCCTGCAATTGCGTTGACCCTCACAGGTCCTCAGTGGTATTTATCACACACCTTTCTCACGGCAACGCACGTCACATGCGGCTGCTAGGACATGGTCTTGAGTTGAAGTGACATATTCATGGATTTTCGCCCTTCCCCCTCTCCAGCAAAAATCACGCTGCATGCTGTGTCCAAACGACTGAGGATTGATAATGCAGAACCTTTCATCACCACCCCGCAGCATCGCATTGTGACATCAGATGGTGGCAGTCATGTGATGTGCAGCGATGGCGTGGAAAAGATGGTGATTGGAAAGAACGAACGCCTTGCCGCTGGATCTAAATGGTAGTCCGTGCATTTCAGATTTCATCACGTCTTCGATATGTTTTTTGTTTTGGGTGGGGTGGGGTGGGAACTTGAAGGTTCTTTCGCGTGACTTCTATCCATGAACAACCTTGTTGTATCTTTGTACGCGTTTCGCCTTTTCGTGGATTTTGTGGATGTAGGCAGGGTTCCTCAATCCAAGCATGTTCCAAACATGTTCTAAACATGTTTCGTAACAAATCCCTTGTTCTCCTGACATATCCTGATCACAAGTCGAAGCCGAGGTCGAGGAGCAAGAGGTTCTGGCCATTACCTTCAAGCCGGACAAGCCGGTGACTTGCTTCTCATCATCCGAGAAGCCCGTTGTGTTGTCCTTGGGCCTCACCCTGAAACCCGCTCGCCGCGGTGGCGCGGATCGCCGCGTCCGCCGGCGACTTGAAGAAAGTGAGGATGTGAGTATGCCTGACACAGCTCCAGGTGAATACGAGGATTAAGTATAGTGCCCATTGTGCGACTGTGAGAGAGAATTTTTGGGATGAAAAGTGTATTGAATCTTCATATTTTGCATGCTTTGCAGTGGGTTGTTCACAGAATGCACGTGCACATGTCCATAGTATGCTACATAGTGTGTGTTTTCCCCATGCTGAGACGCAGCTCACTCACTGCCAGCAATGCGCCAGAGCACGGCTCCGCGAGTCAGATGCCTGGAGATAACGCAGTGAGTTTTGGGGCCATCTGCGGTTGTCAAAGTTGATAGCGTGTGACCCGCATCATGGAGTATGTTCCAAATATGTTCTATTCTGGAAAGTCTTATTGGATTTTCTGTGTTTTTGGCTCGTTTGACAAGGTTTGAGTTAGGTGTTTCAGTTTGTTCCTGAATAAGTTGTTACAGTAAGCAGTTTTGCTCGAAAGGTTTGGCCGGTTGGGATGGCCCTTTGTCTTGTGGCTAGCGCGCCTGATTCTTCAGGGTGCCTTAGTGCCTTTTGCAAAAATACTACATGTCATCCATGTATATACAGCAATTGAGTACCCTCCGGTAATTTAACATAGCTATTGAAAATGGCCATTTATAGTTGATTTACCCACTAAAAATTGTGATTTTCCATAGTTATGTTAGTTTACCAGAGGGTAATTATTCCAAGACCGAAGTGTCAACGGTGATGCAACTTGCCCATCCAGTCAGCTTGCAGGGGAGTTTGAGGCAGTGTATTTGAGCCATGGGTTTTCTGTCGTTAGTCAGTCCAATACAACATGTTGCAACTTGATGCAACTTGAACGCTTAAGTGTGTAATTGCAGGGATGCCTGATGAATATATGTACTTGAATACCATCAGAAGGCCATGGCGCAACATTCCCATGGCGCTTATCCTATGTAGCACAAATGTGCGACGAACGTCTCAACACACGTGTCGCGCGGGGGCACGGCTCGTAGAGTTTCAACAGCCGCAGCTGTTGGACGTTTTCCTGGGACCAGCACGACATTCCATCGCAGTTGGTCCTGGATATTGATGGTACGGTACTGCTGGAGCTGAACACATCTAGACAATGAGTAAATGCGAATGACATGTGAGATGTATGATGATGTGATGAAAAGTGGATCAACAAATAGATCTTCCATTGATTCGAAGCAGTTGTGGAGCTCAGTGGCCCCAGGGCGTTGCAGTGTCACACGCTGCACGCGATCTTTCGCTGTGCGAAGTGACTCGACTTTGGCGAGAAAAAACTTGCCGGTGGTGCCAATGCAAGAGAATGGGATGCCTTAACGGTTAAGGCATGTTAAGGCGCCAAGCTGAACACTGCTGAACACTGAGCACGTTGGACAAGCGTCCTAGGCGTTGGACTTTAGATTCCCCAAGGCCCATTCCTGCAGCATCTCAGATGATGTGACCAATTGTTTGTTCCAGAATGGCAGCAACATAGTCATAAAATGGCAATCTCATGACCCAACCGGCCCTTAGAACATTCTTCAACATCAAACATATCAAACATATCAAACTCATCATTATTCGTAGAACTGTTCTGCATAAATAGTCATTTCAGGTTATGTTCACGTTATGTCTTATGATCTTGTCGTCATTTTCTAAGGAATAAGGCTCTGGTAATCTCTGGTAAACATACAAAAAGCTATTGAAAATTGATGAAAATTGCCCATTTATAGTGGATTTACCCATGAAAAATGGTGATTTGACCCCCCTGAAGTCGCCAAAAAATCGTCCTCGTCGCCATGAAGTCGCCCTCCGGCGCCGGAATTTCGGTGCTGGCAGATGGACGGCAGGTGCAGGAGCACGTGCAGGTCCTGGAGGCGATCGAAGTGGAAAAAAAACCTGCATGAAATTCAGTACCCATAGGATCCATGTATGGTATATATATATATATGTATATATACTAACATTGGGGGTATATTGATGGGATCCATGTTACCAGCACCATGGATCCTATGGGGTATGAAATGGTGGCAAACACGTTTGACTTTTCCAAGTCTTTTTGTTGGTTGCGAGATGATGATCTATGTATGATAATCCATTAAGTTCCGGCAGACCAGCTGATGGCTTGGGTTGCTGTGGAATCCCAGGACTAGCAGCCACAACTGAACCAGCCAGGTTGATGGTCCAATGGCCCAAACATGACCAGCCATTTGATCTTCCAGAATGACGTTTCAGTTTTGAACCATGCCCATAGATTCAGATGTTTGAAGGGAAGAACCATCCATTTAAGGCTTTAAGGAAATCTTCAGAGGTCATTTCACATGATGCAATCATGCAAACATTACGGCAATTTGCTATGTTTGTGATGCCCGAATATACGCTTTCACGATGTTTCACATGCATTTACGGAATTTTTCGCGACCTGCGAGTGACGGTTTCCCCAAACCAACGAGCCAGCGAGCTCTTGCCATTTCGGTGAGGCCCGCAGCCGTCCGGAAAGCGCTGCATGGAATCCCAGAAGCACCGTGGGGCGGGTGCTGGCAGTGGATGGCAATGGGGGACCCAACATCATCATGGGTGATTTTCCATGATTTTTCATTAGGATACCCATGGTCGCCCATGATGCCATGGTTCTTGTTTGATCCCAAAGTTTGAGAACTTGGGATTTGCAGGCATCGGCACCAAGTACTACGGAGGCTTGTGATGGTGGATGTAGTTGAGGGACAAGGGAGGTAGATCAGCCAGACTCACCTTGTTGTGGTGCCTTCTCAACTTGGTATGAATGCAAATCACTGGGATTTCGCACATGTATTGCATGGAGATGAATGGAGATCCCTTATATATACAATCTTACAACATCAACACAAAATTATGGATTCCTTCAATGTACATATGTGATTGATGTTTGTTCAAACATGTTGTGTATACGATTCTTCCAACATGACTCAAACCGGCACAAAACCTTTGGCCTGAAGCATCAGGGCCAACGCATGGCCACCCTGGACCGTCCCTATCCCCGACGGATGCGCCATGCTTTCCGCTGCGCTCATCGTGTGCGTGGTCTTCCCTGTTGCGGGAAAGTTCACGCCAGATGCTGGTCTAAAACCCGGGGGGTCACCCAGAACAAGTATATGAAATGTGAAACAATGTGAAACAGATTTGCTTTGCCATATCAAACAGGGTTCCGCTATTAATCCATGAGGAGTAATTAACTTGAATCCTGGATTGACGGCAATTTGATGATTTGAGCCATCGAATCATCACAGCTCCCGAGCTGAACTCTGTGCTCAGAGTTCACCTCATAAGGCGCAGTTGAGAAGTATCTCGAAAGGGCTTGATCGGAGTCTTGGCCTGCAAATTTTATCTTCATATGGGTCAAATAAACAACGACCTCACTGATTTCCCTCACTGGAATGATGGTTAGTATAGGGAATTACCCCAAATGACCTTACTTTAGGTGAATTACTATAATTTACCCAGGATCATGATCAATGAGAGAAAGCTGGAACAATTGGAAAACAGCAGCTAGTCTTTCAAAGAATCACACAGAAATGGTCCCCTTTCATAGTCCCCTCAATCAAAACCTTCTCCCGGAAACCATCGCTTTGTATGGAATTTGATGGAATTTGTCACTTTAAAGTAAAGGGGCCCAGTGACACTGGAAGCTTAAAGTAAAGGGGCCCAGTGACACTGGAAGCTTATGTCTATATATATATATATCAAGAATCATTTGTAATTACTATTGTGTACATCTATGTGCATTTTTTTTCTGGTACTATTATTTCTTTGTGCCGTGGTATTGTTATAAAAAAGAACACCAGCCCTGATTTGGGATCTGTGCGCCCTGAGGACTGTGGATAAGGTGAAACCTGAGATCAACCAGTTGCTAGTGCGGCCTGGTCGGATTGGAGGGTAAAGGTGGGTATAGTTTGCTGAGAACTTGTGCGTTGACAGCCTCTTTGTTTGCTGTTCATATTTCAGTTCATCCACTTTCTTTTCTTCTGGCTCAGAGGTGGTTTAGCCAGGTTTGATCATCGAATATACCTCCAAATTAGTCAACTTGGATCATCCTATGTACACTCTACACTGTCATTTTTGTCCATCACATGTTGTACCATTGTTGATATGCCAAGTGGTGGACGCAGACGGAAGTGGCTCAATTTTTTTTTTCGGGACATGGCGTGGTGCGTGGCGTGCTGCACTGATGAGTCGCAGCAACCAGTGGAAGTCATCGCCTCGGAGGTGGTAAAGTCTCCATCGTTCAAGGCGGTGAATCATGCAGTGACTTAGATGAAATCTGGGTTTGTGTAAGGTGATTTTCTTTACTTTCCTGCGAAAAAAAGAAAAAACACCATTTAAGGGGCAGCTTTGATAGGTTTTGTTTTGCGGGGGCATTTTAAGCAAATCAAGAATTTGCTGAAGAAGAATTGTTGGTTTTCCTCAGTTCATGTTAATTAATTCTTTATGTTAATTCTTCATGGCCCCCTCAATAGCACATCCAAGGCGAGTTCACGGAGTTCGTCCAAAGCGGCAGATTCCGAAGGGAGGTCCTTCACCGTGGTGGTTCCGACCAAGGACTTTAGTACCTTGGGCCTCCAGATGGATGCGACGGAACCTCGTTTTCCCATGGTTTTGGGAATCGAAGACGGAGCCATTCAGGAGTTTAACAAGGTCTACCAGGGTCCAGGCATCCAGCCCTTTGATGTCTTGATGGCCGTAGATGGAACCCAGAGTTGGGATGCCATTCGTAAGAAGATGGCAGGCAAGTTACCTGACAGGCTGTTCTTGAGCCTGCATCGACCACGAAGAATAGAAGTTCTTGTGGAAAAGACAGGGCAGGGAACCATGGAGACCATGGGGATGAGATTGGCTTATACAGATAAATCTGTTGGAGTCTTTGTTCAAGAGATACATCCCAAAGGCCTCATAGCAAAATGGAATGCAGCGCGTGATGCTGGTGAGAGGATTGAAGTGCTGGACCGTATCGTCGAGTTTGATGGCAAAACTTGCACTGGCACCCAGTTGGCCATGCTGCTTGAGGAGCAGAAGACTTGGCGTCTGACGGTGCTGAAGCACGATGAATGTGACAATCAGGTCCTACAAGGCTTGAGTCGTCAGAGTTTCTGATGCCAGGACTGGCTCATTCACATTTGACCCATCGGACTTATGCCTCAGTTTCACTCGAGTCTTGATAATTTAATAGTGTCGTACAGCGGACGGTTTGTCCATAGTGCATCATAGTGCATCCCGGCGAACACACAAATTGGAATTCACTGCGGCGAAAAGAAGAGGGATTGGGGATGGTTTGGATGGATAGTATGTGAAAGTTCACAGTTCATGATGGTTTGGATGTTTGGATTTTGGGTGGTTTTGAGTGTTTTACCATGTGAAACCGGGATTGGTATCCCTCATTGGAAATGGTGTATCATGGTTTAAACACCATTTCCAATGGGTAAATCATCCAATCCCAAAATCCCAAGATCTGAAGATCTGGCGCCAAGGGACATGGGGGCACTGCCAGCCTTGGAGCCCGGTGAAACTGCGCCGCCGCCGAGCCAGGCCCTTTCGAAGATGGGGATGGTGTTTCGAAATGGAGCACCGGTAAAATCGACATAACTATTGAAAAAGGTCCATTTAAAGCTTTAGTTTGATGATTTACCCATTGGACATGATTGGACATGGTGACTTTTAAGAGCTATGATTCCTATGATAGTTTACCGGAGAGTATCCTCCGGTAAAAAATATGGCATTTGGGATATGGCAAATTTATGGCCGTTTACACACAGAAAATGAGGTTTTAAGATTTCAATCCTAAGATCAGATCAATCATATTTCCTGATATGGTATGACTAAGTATACTAAATATGACCTGACTATATATGGTCCCTCACCGTGGAAAATGGATGAACATGGTAATCAATCAGAGGATTTTCCTGTCTTCCTCTTAGTTTCAGACAACCTATATAGAAGTTAGAAAACAACTTCAACATGTTTGGTGTTTTCGGCAATTTTTGGTGTTTTCCCCAATTTTTGGTGATCTGGATCGTGGGATTTTGGTGCGCCTGGGTTTTCAGTTTGTTGCGTCCTCCGGGATCAGGCAGTGCTGGAGCCCTGCAAGGCCCTCCAGCTACTTGGCGCGTTTTCCATGGGAACCCCCTCCACTATGTGATGTTTCCGTCAAAACCACCATTTCTAGGCTATACTAGGTGATTTTGCCATAAAAACCGGCATTTTATAGGTGATTTCCCATTGTTGCCGAATGGGAATGTTATGTAATTATTATGCCAATCAGCTATCCAGTGGTTTCGGAGGGAGTGTTTTGGAGCTGCTGGGATTCCCATTAAAACATCCATTAAATGGGAACTGAGGAGCTACTGAAAGTTTCCCCACATGATAGTTATTTATAGATTTTTTGTTGGATCCTACTTAATCTTGTTGGTAATTGTTATTGTTTGATTGCTGATCCTGGCTTATTATGCCTATATATATATATATGTGCTGTTATCATTCTACATTATCGTTTTGTAGTTTCGGGAATGGTGCCATTCTGTTGTTAATTGTGGCCATTATTGTTCGATTGTTGTTGTATTGTTGTTTCTTTGAACGTGTAAAGTGATATAGTAAATCTCACTCCAGACGCCCTGGCTCAGTATTAGAATTGTGGGAATGACTTTCCGCCTCGCACTAAATCAAGGTGACTTGGATCCCATCACCGGCCCTAGGAACTTGATGCACCTGGAAAACTCGCTGAAGATCGTAGAGCATGATACCAAAACCACCATCTTCAAGGTGGGTCGCCTGAAAGGGGCACAACGACACCGTTCTCCTGTTTGGGAACATAGGCCAAACAATCAGCATCACTGTAGAATTGGAACCAAAATGCTGGGTCCAGCCATGATGCCGCTCTCTCTCTCTCTCTCTTCCTTTCTCCACTGCAATCTGTAAAATCTGTTGGTTGGATGTGGGCTGGAAACATCTTTCGCGCAGGCCCAGGCAGGTGTGTTTGAATGGTGATTTACCTCCAATTTGTGGCCACTAAAAAGTTGGGAAACTTTTTGCAGATGCAGCCAGTGCAGGTTCGGTATCAAATGACCAAGGATGCCAATATCATGGAGACGCAGGAGCCGGGGTGGTTTCGAAAACTGGGGCCTGGGGATTTTAGATTATGGATGACCCAAATTCCCAGTGGATGATTAATAGAAGATTCCCTCCCTTCAGCAACCAATAGCTTACAGATATTTAATGATATTTACCGATTATACAATCATGGTATATCATATCATGTAATATGGAAAGTCGTCTACCAATACGTGTTGTTTTTAGATATTCTCACTATATAACTGGTACATCACCAAGCTTGTCCCGTCACTTAAAGGGACTGCCGTTTGGCAACTGGGGATCACCTAACTTTACGTCACCAAGCTGGACCCACTGCACAAAAGCGGTGCATTTTCAGACCTTGGAAAATGTAAACGAAAGCTATTCAAGACAACATAAGGCAACGAGATTTCAGGAATTGCGGGTCTTTGAATGTCTTTGATGTTTTTTTCGTGTTTTTGTTTTTGGCAGGTGTTTGTTTGTTTTTGCTAGTCGGTTAGGCACGCTGAAGCCATCTTTTCTGGACCTGTACCCAACCCCAGAAACTTGCAGCAACAGCTCAAACAAAGGTTCAAGACCAAAGTAGTATCTGGTGTTTCGTGTAAAACCTGTCGGGATGGGTCAAACTTTTCAAACACCAGCCGACATCAACTGACATGAGCTGGCCGATGTTGTCCTGTATTTTTCTGGCGGGGGAGGGACGGGGATGCCCGAACATAGGGCAATTTAAAGAGAACACAATGAGAAAATCATGATCGATCATCAAATGTAGGATGCTGCAACGCATTTCCAAACCACATGCCCACAGGAGATGGGACCTTTGGTCATGGCCATGCATACTGTGCCTGGGCTGATGTGGTTGGTAGATGTTGGTCGTATTTGATGGCCTTGGTTACTAAGTCCTCCAAGTGGTGTTATATCCCACTTGCAACTGGTTGATATTGGCATGATTGTCAGGTGCCACTCAGTGGGACGAACATCCCAGGAAGGGTTAGGTTTGCCATGTGAAGCATCATTTCTAAATTTCTAAATGCCTTGTGAACTTCAGCATGATTCGCTGTCCAGACATTTTTGGAGTCTTGAAGCTTCAGCAGAATCCTTCAGTGTCTTCATGATGATTCCCTAATACAGTCCCTCGTGGTAGCACAGCCAAAGTCCCAAAAACCTGACTGTTCGAACTTTGATGTCGACACAGGGCCTTTCTCGCCACTGCTACAAATGCTACAAGATGCTACAAGTAACTAATTTCTTCCCTCGATTCCCCCTACTGCACATATACATCCACGTTTCTTTAGGGGGCTGTTTGTTGTTCGGGGGTTCGCGTTGACCGGACGCCACCAGAAAGCTCTGACAGATGAGGCAGCAATCCAGCTGGAGACATCAGTGACCAACTGCCAAACTGCCATCAATCAGAACAAGGACAGATGCCAGGCAGAATACAAGGCAGAAGCGAAGGCAGAAGCGGAGGCCAAGGCCAAGGCAAATGGAATGACAAAAGCCCAGGTGATAGCCAATGCAAAAGCCAAGGCGGAAGCCAAGGCGGAAGCCAAGGCAAAAGATAAGGCGGAAGCCAAGGTCGAAGACAAAGCGGAAGCCAAGGTCGAAAACAAGGCTGAAACCAAGGTGGAAAGCAATGAAAGCAACAACGGCAAAGCTACCAGGCACCTGGGATGGTGTGGTGGGATGATGGATGGCCAGAGTCTCCCAACGGTGTTTTTCCCCAGAGGTTTGGGCTTCCACAGCAATGACAAGCTAGTGATGTGAAAACCACAGTACTGAGTCAACTGTTTAAGAGATTGACATCGAAACATTCTAAGCAGTTTAGGATTGAAATCCAAACAGTTTTAGATTCTTCACACTCACCAAGCTAACAAAAAAGTACATTTATCTACATTTACTTCTTATGTGTGCATATGGAAGTATATACGCGCATACATGTGTGTGTTTGTGTGTTTAATCCACGATCCCATGACTTTTCATGGAACCCCCAAGTACCCCATTTTATGGTTACCCACTCAACACAATCAGGGTTGATGGTCCATGGTGGTTGATCGGCTCAGAACATCAGACTTGTTGCAGGGTCTCTGAGCCATAAGGCATTTAAATGTGGTAAATGGCAAAACCCATCCAGACAAAATCCAAAATAGGTCGATGAATTGATGGGTTGTTTGGTTATCAAATTACTCTAAATGATATATAGTCATTCATGGCATTGGGATGCATTGGGTTTACCATATTCGATATTCCACTCCATTGCATCCCCATGAAAATATTTCATTAACATCTCCCATTCTATATCCAGTCATATCCCCATAACATACCCAGTCAAACCATCAGAAATCGATTATATCCCCATATCATGTATAGATATGTATAGTTATATGATGTTATATGCATAAATAACACCACCCCAAAAACTTCATGACATGCCGTGGGCTGCCGTGTTGTCAGGATCTTGGCACCCAAGATCTTCCCAGACGCCTTTAGCCTTCGTGGCCACGGCCCTGGCGTGGCGCAGGGCAAGACGGATGGCCGGTGAGCTCTTGGATAGCCTGTAGGACAAGTAGCTGGTGCCAGGTGAGTACTGTACACATATAGAAACAGTATGTATGTATGTATATATATATATATGTGTATGTGTATGTGTGCTATTTATTTATTTTATTTATTTTATTTTATTTTATGTATTTATTTATTTATTTACATAGAGTATGTACATAGATACATAGATAAATAATAAATAGATAATTAGATAGGCAGATAGATAGATAGGTGGATAGATAGAGTCATAGATAGATAGATAGATAGCTAGCTAGCTAGATAGATAGATAGATAATCATAGATAGATTATCGATCGATCGATCGATAGATAGATAGATAGATAGAAATATGCATATTGTGAAGATGATCATGAGTCCACACCAGATCCATGAACCTCTATGTATATCCCCGTAACATATGGGCCCAATGCCAACTTACAGGCGCCTTGAGCTGAATGGAAAACATGTGCCACGTTGCGTTGTGGGTCGTTTGCGCGTCCCACATCTTCAAACTGGTAGCGGGAGCTGTGATAGCATCCCCGCGAAACTTCTACGACAAGCCAGCGACCCAGGTGAAAGACCGTGAGGACACTACGCCCATGGCGCTGGACAATCTGAGGTATGGAAACTTCAGACCTACGACGGTGGTGCCTGAGGCGAGGAGTCTGCCGGGCTATGGAGGACAAGTTGAGGAGTGGGCCAACTATAAGTTCCAGGTGCAGGCCATCGAGATGAAGGAGTCACAGATGAGTGAAGGTGAGAGGAAGAAGCTTGGAGGACTGGCTTTGAGGCTGACTGAGAGGCTCCAAGGGCCGGCTTTGCAGATCGCAAAGACCTTGGGGATCGAGGAGTTGGCAAAGCCTGATGGAGTCACCAAGCTGATGAATGCCCTGGAGACAGACCTACTACCACTACGCCGACAAGCCGCAGTGGAGCTCTACCAAGCCGGATCTATGCCTGGCTTGCTGAGCCGACAGAACGCCGAGCCGATGGCATCATATGTGCTGAGAAGGGAAGCTTGGTGGAACCAGTTGACCGAGCTTGACAAGGAGGTCAAGTGCAGCCAAGCGATCTTAGGAGAGCAGATGCTGACACAGAGTGGACTCACGTCCATGGAGCAGCAACTGGTGAGATCGGTGATGAGCAACGATCTCAGCGACCTCAAGAAGTTGGCAGCAACGCTGAGAGACCAATTCGGAGCGGTACATGACAGGGAGAAGAGAAAAGGCAAAGGAGATCACAAAGGCCGATGGGGCTGGGGACAACGAAGTTCCTACATGGCGGAGTCCTATATGGCTGAGGATGAGAACCCTGTCGTGGCCGATGAGACCCTTGAGAATGCCGAGTATGATGAGGAGCTCTACGATGAGAACTATGAGGAGATGCCAGAAGGACCTGAGGGGACACAGCTGGAAGAGGACATCGTGGCATGGTACGCAGACCAAGGTATCCATGCACAGACGTGCTCAGCTGAGGACTTGGAGTTGATCTACGACACTGTGGAGCACGAGACAGCTGCGTTCTACTCGAGGCAGCAGGCAGCTCATCGAGGCTACTCAGTTCCTGCGAGCAACAGCTTGTACCAGTCCAACAACAACCAGACACCACAGGAGAGGCAGGCCAAGGTTTTGGCTGCGAAGCAGAGGACGAGGTGCAGAGCTTGTGGACAGCAGGGACACTGGCAACGAGACTGGATCTGCCCGAAGAGAAAAGGAGGATTCAAAGGCAAAGGCAAGAACAAGGACAAGGGCAAGGTTCAGAGCAAGGGGAAGAACGATGGCAAATCATCGCCGAGCTCTACGAGATCGACATCGGGATCACCAAGCAAGCCCAGGGTTGTCTACTTCTCAGTGAGAGACAGCCACCAGGAAGAACCCTTTGCGGGGATGGTTCATCGCTATGAGCCTTCCGGTCCAGGGAACCCAGGATTGGATGATGTAGATCAGAGAAGACTTGAGGATGAGGTGCGAAGGCTGATGACCTTGCCATCAGAGAGGTTGGAGCAGGAGTTCCAACAGGAGCTATACTACATGCCACCACAGAGCAAGGCAGCAGCACGACCACCTTCAGGAAGTCTGGTTCCTGATCTGATGATGCAGATGCATCACCCCAAGTCGCCTGGCTTCTACGTGCATCAGGCGAGAGGATCGACTGAGGAGACTATGGAATTCTCAGCTGGCGAAGTGCCAATTCCAGAGACACCTAGAGGAGACAGCGGTTGCCCACATGAGAACACGACAAGAAGAGGATCGAATGCCTACATAGACATGCTGACTTGCAAGGACTGTGGACTGGTGATGCACAAGGAGAAGAAGTCACCAGTGACCAAGGACATCAGCATGAGGCAGATTGATCCGCAGGTGTGTCAACACCATGATGTGTCTTGGAAAGGATCCAACGGGTACCAATGGGTTTGGACATGCCCGGACTGTGGATGCAGCGACAAGGTCAAGAGGAATCCAGGAGATGAGAGGCCGATTCCTGCAGCAGGAGTTCCATCATCCACCATGAGATCTACCACCAGGACACTGCCGAAGGCAACTACACCTATGTCGTCTCCACCAACGACGCCACTGAGGACCTCTACGTCGACAATGCAAGATGCAGTGTTGTTCACATCTGAGGATGAGTGGACGACATGCCGAGATCTTTTGGATCGCATGGTTCGACTCCACATCAATGCCCACAACTCCATCACCAAGCAGGAGTTCATGCAGATCGTCAACGCTGTTTCGCTTTGCTGTGCAGCACAACTTCATCGAGCTGTACCACTTCTACCTTCAGGACAAGGTCACGTGGGAACACCTAGAGGAGCATCCATCTCAACGGCCAGAAGTGAGAACAGAGACGAAGGTGATCGACTGTTTGACTTCGGCAAGTACAAGGGACGAAGCTTCAGATCGGTCTACGACAACGAACCTTCTTATGTGAACTGGACGTTGGACGAGATGCAGAAGGGCGAAGGCTACTGCAAGGGCATGAGAAGATGGCAGGAGTACATCAATGTGAAGAGAGCAGAAGAGGAGTCGAATCCACCGAGAACACCAACAGCCTATATGGTCGTCGATGTCGAGGAGATTGATGAGAATGACGATGTGGCAATGTGGGTCAACACAGAGGACGAGGAAGCGACCTACATGTTCCTTGACTCAGGTTGCAACCAGACCTGTCATGGGGAGCTGTGGATGAAGAGGTTCAGCAATGTGACAAAACATCATCCACAATGGCTACATCGACAGACAACCGAGCTCAACGGCATCGGAGGACGATCGAGGACGCTGGGAGAAAGACTTCTCTATGTCATGCTGGAGAACAACAATGGAGAAGGAGTTCCAGGAGAAGTCACCAGCATGGAAATCGAGGGATCGAAAGCACCAATGCTTTTGAGCCTTCCTTCACAAGAGGCTCTTGGATTGGTCGTTGACTTCGAAGATTCGACCATCTACAGCAAGCTGTTGAACATGACCTTCAAGGCAGTTCGAGGCAAAAGGAATCGCCTTTTGGGCCTCAAGATCACCCCAGCCGAGTTCGCGGAGATGAATGTGGCACCGGTTGAAACCGTTGCACTGATGGCTGAGTCGAGTGAGGGCTCTGACAAGAAGTCACCATGGAGGACTTCGGATGAGGGAGATCAGAGAGGAGTGCCCAAGGCCAGAGCAGCACCCAGCGAGATGCTGACCAGAATTGCACCGGATGGACAACGCTACACATCTGAGGTGCGAGTAGTTCCAACTCGAGCAGCATCATCTTCAGCAAGACCATCTGAGGAGAACACCGACAAGGAGGATGATGACGTGTGGGTTGAGGTCGAAGAAGAGGAGGCATCACAACCCGCTGGGACGACACAGAATGAGACATGGGATCGAGATGAAACAGATGACGCACCACTGGAGGAGCAGATCTTGGATGAGCCAGAGGAAGAAGGTCAGCCAGAAGGAGAACTATCTCCGAAGGAGAAGGACGTTTTCCGACCAGAAGATGAGGAGACTGACTGGTGGGACATCCAGGACAATGAGATCATCCGACACCATGTGCAGCCACGGACTATGCCGTTCTACCCAACAGGAAGTCGAATGGATTTGCCCGTCGACTTGATGAGGCTTGCTGGACGAAGAGTGACCTACAAGCTCTTCGAGGATGGGAACACGGAGACCGTGAATGACAACTGGAAGGATCGACTTCCAGGACAGTACGTCAAGGAGCGATCGGAGGCAACAACCTTTGAGAAGGCACCTCCTGGACTTCACGTCGTCCGGAGGATCACCTACAACATGGAGAATGGAGAAGAGATCGCTGACGAGACTGAGTATGACCTCATGCAGGAGGGACGAGAAGAAAGACCACTACCCAACGGAGTCACCTACATCAGGACGAGATTCCACGTCTTCGAGGACTTTGAGGACGAGAGTCCATGGATTGGAACTACCACGTTCCGACTCAAGCCTTTGGAGACGGAGTTGGCCGACTATGTCATGGACCCCAAGGACACCAAGCGCACCATGACCAAGGGCCAGCGGAAGCAGCTGGAACAGGAGGTTGAGAACCTGGAGGAGAAAGACATGGCGCTTTGGTCTGTCCTGACCAGGAGAAAAGCTTTCTTGCCCATGCGCTGGAAGATTGTCTTCGAGTTGTTCTGCGGATGTGCCTTGTTGACAAGGATGTTTCAAGCAGCTGGCTATGAAACCTGCACACCGCTGGACATGAACAACGGGTGGAATGTCTTCGACCCGAAGCATCGAAGATGGGCAGAGGACATGCTGGAGCGTGAGAACCCGTACCTTCTCACGGTGGCATGGCCTTGTGGACCCTGGTCACCATGGCAGAGGATGGCAAAAGATCAGGAGATCGTTCAGGAGAAGCGGAAGAAATGGTTGCCGATCCTAGGATGGATCAAGAAGATGGTGAGGAAGCAACAGCAGAAAGGAGGAGTGACAATGGTCGAGAACCCATGGCCGTCAGAAGCATGGAACACTCAGGAGATCATGTCACTATCTTCGCA